TTCCATATTTAATGAAACATTGACTTATTTTTTTTTAAAAATACATTGTCTGTTGAATGAGAATTGATTATCACCATTAATGGTCTACAATAATGTCATCCTAATTTTTTTTTGAAATAACTGTTTTGAAACCATCCCGATAGTTCATACTTAAATATTCGAATAGTGTTTCAAACCGTCGGATCCCGACAGTTTTACTGCCGAATTCGACAGTTTACAAACTGTAGGGATACACAATTCAACTGTCGATTTCGACACTTTAGAACTGTTGAAAACCTTGATTAGCTGTTTTCCACATTTGATGGTATTCAATGTCGATATATTGGTTGTGCTGACTTCTTACAGTTGCAATCCCAATATTTCAGGTATGAGTGATGATTTGAGATTCATTCTCTTACGGAGGAAATTTCGCAAATGTGGATGACGAATGGAAGTGAAGAGGGGACAAAACCACTTCCACTTTAGTGCCGACAAATGTAGCCGAACTTGCTTTACGGTTGAAGGAAAAACTCAGTATTGTTGATCCCCACAGTGAAATTGAATTGAAGTTCAGAGTCCCCAACTTAAATATACCTCCGGCTGAAATACGCAAAGACGAAGACCTTAGTACATATCGGCTCATAAGGAAATTGCAATATGCGTTACTGTTTTAGAAGCCGAGCCCCCAAGTCTTAGCATGGAAACATATACAAATTGACTGGATCATTTGTTTGTCATAGGGGATGTTCATCAAAATGTACATAATGAGGACATAAGTCATCAGCATAATATCTTAATAGAAATTGCACCCGAAGCGCCGTTTTCTGATATTGGGGTTGCACCCTTAGATGAGAACTTGGACGACCCTGGAATAGTAACCCACATCCAACTCGATGGACATAATAGGTTTACTAATTTCTTCCTAGCATTTGGTGCAAGCATTCGTGGTTACTTGCAGTTTTTGAGGCCCGTAATTTGTGTAGACGGTAGTCACTTGAAAGGTCCATACAAAGGTACACCTCTACTGGCAACTGTCCAAGATGCGAATAAACAGATCTACCCCTTAGCATGGGGGATTGTAGATGCCGAAACAAATAAATCGTGGTTGTGGTTTCTGTCCAATTTGAAAGATCTTATAGGCTATTTAGATGAACTTGTATTTATGTCGGACAGGAAAACAAGTATAGAAAAAGTCATTTCTCAGCTATTTCCATCGTCTCACCATGGTTGTTGTATGTAGCATATGGAAAATAATTAAATACAGAGGTACAATAATGTTAGTTCAGTTTTCCTATTCAAAAGCGCAGCGACAACGTATCGGGTGGAAGAGTTCGAACGACTAATGTGACAGATTCGTAGGATAAGTGGGAGAACGTACGAGTACTTGGAGCGATCAAATTTTTCTTTTTGGTCCCGAGCACTATTCGTTGGGCACCATTATAATATTATGACAAACAACAATGCGGACTCCCTGAACGCAATGTTGAGACATACCCGATACTTACCGATCACAAGTTTGGTTGAACACATTCGGAATCCAGAGCACTATTCGTTGGGCACATGTATAATATTATGACAAACAACAATGCGGAATCCTTGAACGCAATGTTGAGATATGCCCGTTCGTTACCGGTCACAAGTTTGGTAGAACACATTTGGAACACAATGCACAAGTGGTTTTACGAACGTCGAACTACTTCAATTGCAGCAGTATCGTGTTGTCATCGAACATGGAGAGCGAGTTACAGGCAACGTTTGACGCGGTTCTCAACTTTGAGCTCATGCTTTAACAGCAAACTTAACACAGGCCGGACTATCCAACGACACGGACATCGTAGACTTTTCTGACAACACATGCACATGCCGTAAATTTCAACTAAATCGTATGCCATGTGTTCATGCAACCCCATGTAGCTTGCTTTAGAGGTACATCATTGTACGATTTATATTCCCCTTACTACACAACAGACTATTGAAGGGGTGCTTATAGTGAAGCTATATATACTGTTACGCGGGAAGAGAACTGGGTTGTTCCGAACGACATTACAGCTACTCATATTTTGCCACTAGTGGTACGTTGTCCTCCAGGTAGACCGCCCACACGCCGTAAGAGATCCAGACACGAGTCCACCACTTCAAGGCCACGACTATGGTGGGCACTCGCTGTGATAGATTTGGTCATAATCGAACCACATGCACGAAAATCATCATAACGCAACCAAGTTACCATTTCCATATATAATAACGGTTTTTTGTTTATTAGTGTACTGACGACCTACCATATATAATTACGTTGTTTTGTCTTTTAATGTACTAGGAAGTAACATATGTAATTATGTTGGTCTGTTTGTTATTGTACTGGCCACCGCACCATTTCAGTGACGTCCTCTCATCATATATGTGCATTTTAATTTCATTATTCCATGAACATATAGTATGTGATCATCTGTGTCCTCATTTCGAATTATGCTCATGCTTGCTGAAACCGACATGACATACATAGTTTGCAGCACACCCCGACACTTAATATGTCGATCCCGACAGATGTTCTCTGTATTTCTCAACAGTTTGAACAAGACATCAAATTTTCACGAGGCAAACACAGTGAAGAAGGGATATTGTTGCCTTTGGATTTGATTAATTATCATTATTGACTATGCACTAAATACTTGGATGAATGTAATATTAACATAAATAAGGGCTCCACGAATAAAACGTACAAAATTCGAGACCGTCGTTTAAGATGTATTTGTAACACATCCTACCACAAAAATTACTTAAAC